CCAGCGACGAGGGGGCCGGCGGGAGGGAGGTGGGAGGGGGAGAGGGGGGAGGAGAAGGGGGCGGGAGGGAACAGAAGGGAGGGGGGGGGGGGGGGGGGAGGGATGGGGGTGGGGGAGGGGGGGGGGGAGGGGGGGAGGAGGGGGGAGGAGGGGGGAGGGAAGAGAGGTGGGAGGGGTGAGGTGGAAGGAGGAAGGGGGGAGGGAACAGAAGGCGGGGGGGGGAGGGGGGAGGGGATGAAGGGCGATCCAGGCGCGCCCGCGCTATCTCAAACGTCCGACCCTTTCCAGCCATCCTTGCCCGTCGAGCTGAATTTCGTGCTGTTTTATCCGCCGACAGGGGTGCCATGGAGCAGCCTGATCTCCAAAGCGACCCCATCGTGTGGTGCGCAATCAGAAGGGGGACGTTGCACATTGGAAGACGAGGTGGTGGCGGACGAGCGGAAGGGTCAGCAGGAGGGAGAGGAGGATCAGGGGTGAAGGTCAGCAGGTGAAATAGGAGGGACCAGAGGACGCAAAATCGCATCCAGAAATGTGGCCCGGGCTGGAGCGAAGACGATTTTCTTAACGATGGGAGCAAAACGCCGATCCTGAGATGGGAGAGAGCGTGATCCACCGCCACTTTACTGTGGAAAATTGCCGCCCTTTTCCTCCGGAGCCCGGGGGTCCCCCCCCCCCCTCCGAAATCCCCCCCCCCTGCTGGAACCTCCATAATTACTCAATATGAATACTACTCTCCCTCTTCCCCTGATGGCGTGCAGGGAATATTCGACCCCCCGCCGCGTATTGTTTTTTTACACACAGGATTCCCGGGAGTTGGGTTTTCGCCTGCGTTTCTTTTCAAAATGCTGCTCTCGCTGAGGCGCCGGCCTCACTTCTGCTCCCGAATCGTTCCGAATCGTGCTCCCGCTGCAGCGTGGGCCTCATTTTCGGATGGGTGTTTTGCCTCCGTCGTTCAAGATGGCGTTCTCGCCCCAGCGCGGGGCTCTTTCTCGCGCGCCCATCCGCCCGCCACCACCGCGCCGCACCACGCCCCGCCCCGCCGCACGCACACCCACCGCCACTTCCACCCACCAACGCACGCACGCACGCACGCGCACCACCACCGCGCACCGCCACCACCACCGCACTACCCCACCCACCACCACACACACCGCGTCACACCACATCACACGCGCGCACACACACACACACACACGCACGCACGCACGCACGCACACACACACACACATACACACGCACACACACACACACACACACACACACACACCACCACCACCGCCACCGCCACCACCGCCATCACGCACGTACGCACCTGGCCCACCACCAAACCACCAAGACGCCACACCACGTCACACCACAGCACACGCGCACACACGCACACACACACACATACACACCACCACCACAACAACCACAACCACGCACACACGCACGCACGCACGCGCACCACCACCCACTACGCACACGCGCGTGGAGCCACAGGTCCGCTACGACACGCGTCCGCGGATAGAGAAAATCAGCGCCATGGTAAGGGATGGGAGGGAGGGGTAGGATGTCAGATGTTGACGCGAGCGCACCTAACTTGCCCCCCCCCCTCCCCCCCCTTCCCCCGGCAAAACCCCCCGCTCCCCTAAGCCCCTCCCCCCCCCTCGAACTCGAAAACCGGGGGGGTCACTACCGGTTCGAACCCCCCCCCCGCCCTCTCGAAAACCGGAGGGGGGGGTCACTACCGGTTCGAACCACTGAGCTGTCCCACTGTTCCCACCACTGTCCCCACTGTCCCCACCGCTGTCCCCACTGTACCTCTGTCCCATTGTCCCACCGCCGTCCTCGCCACCGCCTTCACCACTGTCCCCACCACCACTATACCCTCCACTGTCCTACTGTTTCCACCACATTCCCACTGTCCCCACACCACTGTCCCCCACCACCACCTTCCCCACCACTGTCCCACTGTCTCCACTGTTCCCACCATTGTCCTCACCATTGTCCCCACCACTACCGTCCCCACCACTGTCCCACTGTCCCCACGTCTGTCCCGCTGTCCCCTCACCACTGTCCCCACCACCACCGTCCCCACCACTGTCCGCCCCCCCCCCTCGGTTTTCGAGAAGGGGGGGGGAGGTTCGAACCGGTAGTGACCCCCCCCGGTTTTCGAGTTCGAGGGGGGGGGGGTTCGAACCGGTAGTGACCCCCACCCCTTTTCATGATGAACTTGGGGGGGGTGGGGGGGGGGAGGGGTTCGAACCAGTAGTGACCCCCCCCCGGTTTTCCGGAGGGGGGGGGGGGAGGGGTTCGAACCGGTAGGGACCCCCCCCGGTTTTCCGCCAGCAGCGGTAGAACAAGCTCTTTCTGAGATGGGGATGCTGCAGCGGGACCCACCATCTTGATTGACCAAAACAACTCCGAAGCTCCTGTACAATCATGCAAGGGGGCCAACGCTGCAGCGTAAACACAAACACGTACATAGGTGGTGCTTGCTTGCAGAAGCATACCGTCAGGCTTGAAAAGCGCACTTGGACTACCACATTATGAAATCCTGCCAGCAAAAAACAATACGCGGGAAAGTCTGCGTCACAAAAGGACACTGTCAGGGGAGAGCGGAGAGTAGTACTCACAACGTGCAGTTGTAGAAGGGAGGAGAGGAGTGGGAGGAGAGAGAAGAGAGGGAAGGAGGAGGAAGGAGGGGCGAGGACACAGGGGGAGGAGGGGGAGGGGAGAGGGCGGGAAAGGGAGGGGATGTGGACGGGGGCGCCCATGTGAGCGACGAAAAGAGACGATCCCACGCGGGATGACACAGCGACATTACGCCGCAGCTACTGCGGATCGTCGGCGCGGCACGCCACATTGGAGACGAAGATGTGCTTACGCGCGACCCTGCGCGGCCAGCTTGCGCGCCAGTGTCGGACCAGACGACCCCGTTTTGTTGCGTCGCTGAGTTGCGTACATCTGTGCGCTCAGCGGCCCGCAATTCCTCCGTGGTGCAAGTGCCAACTTGGCATTCGAGGGACATATAGGCTCCTGTGGGTCCACGGAAAGGTTTCGTGGTGAACGCCAACGCGCAAAAACCTGCACCGAATCACGAACTCGCTGCCGGTTCTGGAAAAAGGACTCCGAATTCCACCCCGAGGTCGAGAGAGCGGGAGGGACAGGGGTTGCGGAGCGGATGGGGTCTGGAAGCCCTCGCCCGAACCCTGCACTCTAGGGGGGCAAACAATTGGAGGAGGAGGAGGAGGAGGAGGAGGAGGAGGAGGAGGAGGACAATGAGGAGGAGGAGGAGGAGGAGGAGGAGGAGGAGGAGGATTGCACAAGCACAGCAACTCGGAGGCCGACGCGGAGTTCTCGGATCGGCGTCGGACCTCCGTGGATGCGCCGGAGGGGGCGCCAGGGGCGCCGCCAGGGGGCCCTTCAGCGCCGACCCGAGGAATCCGCGCGGACCTCAGAGCTCTGATGCTCATGTCATTGTTTGTTCTCCTACACCAAATGACCCGCTACAGGACTGGGAGGTCTTTGTCGGAAGGACTGGGGAGGAATACAGTGCGGGCGCGGCCGCAAGAAGCCCTCGCAAGAAACCCAGCCCTGAAACCCGCAGGCGCGAGATGCACTGGGGATGCCCGACCCTACAACCAAACTTTTCTGGTTTGGGTTTTTGCTCGACTCCCCCAGCGCAAAGGGGGCCACGGTGCGACAAGAATCCCGCCCAAGGGGTGCACAGAACCCCCTGCCGCAAAACAACTGGGCGTTGGTCGCCCCCTCATTACGCAACGCCCGAAACGCCCCTGAGCGAAAACGGCCCAGGACCTCTCGCTCAAACCCCCTCTGTCGGGTGTTGCTACTTAGAAACACCCCTGGACCAAGGTACCCCCAGGATTTCTCGGGGTGGCCCAGACGGCCTTCGGGGCACCCCTCACGAGGCCCAGAGGGCCCCAGGGCCTCCAAAACGGAGCGAAGAGCTGGGGCCACCGGCCAACGAGCCGCAGCCCCTGGCCCCTGCGGCCTACGACCCGCAGCCCCTGGACCAGATACCCCCACCCAAAGAGCCCTCGCTCCCCCTCCCCAAAGAGCCCTCGCCCCCCCTCCCAAAGAGCCCTCGCCCGCCGCTCCCAAAGAGCCCTCGCCCGCCGCTCCCAAAGAGCCCTCGCCCGCCCCTCCCCAAAGAGCCCTCGCCCCCCCTCCGAAATTCCCCGCCCCCCGCCCCCCCCCCCCCCTAGCTCCCCCTCCCACGTGGCGGAGCGCGCCCCGCCCCGCCCCGCCTCCCCTCCGCCGTCCGCAGAGGGGAGGGGAGGTGGGGGGGGGGGGAAGGACGAGGACAAATTCGGGCGAGGATCCGGCGGCCCTGGAGGGCGTCTCTGGCGCCGCTGCTCTTTCAAAGCTGAAACGGATTTATCCTCGTCCTAGCCCCAATCGAGGAAGCGGAGCGGAGAGGAACAGACTCCCTTGAGGGGGAAAGCGGCGGGGCCCACTACCATTTCAACTGCTGGGGGATCCGCTGACACCTCCATTCTTTCACACATCTTTCCTCACGGCCAGTTCATCCGACGCAGCGATGTTGGGCAGGACACGCCTAGATCAGACACCGCCAAACCATTGCCCGCGGAGGGTCAGGACGCGGCTGACGAGTGCAAAGGAAAAGATGGCTGGAACATACGCACGTGGAAGATGACCACATGCAACGAGGTGTGGACGCACGGCCAGAGAAGGCCGAGAGCAGACCCGAAGCCAGAAGTGCCGCCGACCGCGCTTCGCTGGAGAGTGCGGAGCGGGCGAAGGCAGGGAAGTGACCGCTGCGGCGAGGGCGCGACCAGCTGTGAGGGCAAGGGCCAGAGCGTGGCCAACCAAATGTACGACCCAGAAGAGCAGCAACAGCGGCGGGAGGTGGAGGAAGGGACTGACACTCGGGAACCAGGACGAAGCAGGAACCGGGGGAGGGAGGAGGGCGAGCGGCGCTCACACGCACACGCACGCATGTACCCGTACACTACCGAGCCAAGACATGCGTACCACAGTAGCTACCAGGAAGTCGAGTCGATCTCACAACATGCGCAATGGTATCTCCTAGCCGCAGCTAACTCAAAGCCACACAGCTTAAGACGTCGACAGCTTCAGTGGGCTCTCGCAGCTTCCCTGCAAACTCAGGGGACTAAGCCTGGACAAACTGCCTCCTTGCTAACCTGCCGCTTACGCGTAACCCACTCATACGCCCGCGTTACGAGCTTAGCCAGGCAGATCCATACGACACACTTCTCCAGACCTCATTCGCGCCGTGCTCACAGCTTACACATCAAGTAACTTCGTGATGCCAAGAGGGCACAGATCAAGGCTTCGACAGTTAATCAGTTGATATCCTCCTCGCATGAGACTTGAATTATCCACAGCGCTGTATGCCTGAATATCTGACAGAGCATGCGCATATCTTAGCTTAGCGTGGCAGGGAATTGCTTGTCAAGATCATGTTCGATAAGATCGCATGCTCTCTAAGCCCACAATCCTTTGAAGATCCTGCGACAGACTTGTGACGTCACGACCTGGAGATGGTTTCTGACACCGCGAGGATCATTCAAACTTCAATGATGGACGGCTTTTCGATCGCCAGGTCGCTCCATGTAGGCAACGTCTTGGGCCACTGAGACCTCAAACCTTGAACGCCTGCGGCGTGGTCGGCGCCTCGTTAACATGACGCGAACAGAACGTACCTACTGTGTTGCTGGCGTCCCCACCAAATAAATATTGCGAACCGAACGTTGTTCTGCAACGTCCATTCAAGACCTGAAGTGTCTCCACCAAACAAAGATTGCGAATTGATCGGAACAGACACGATTTACCTTGTGCCTACGTAAGCTTGTGGAGCTTCCGAACCCCCCCTTTCGCTTCCAGGAAGCACCGAACACGAGCTCACGCACCATGGGGAACGCCCGCATCACCTCCACGTGCTCTGCGAAGAGAGGCGAATGCAGTCGCGATGCTGGACCTCCCGCTACGCTGGACATCCATTCGCACACCGTGGTCTTCTGGCGTTTCAGCACCCAGGCCACACGGCTGGCGACGTAGCGGATGCGCCGATGCAGAGGCCCGTGTGCCACAGACAACATTAACTTGGATGACACGCCCTCCCACCTCTGATGCCCATGCACGCCGGTGCCACCGCAGCGCACAGCTGCGCCCATCAGAGCCCTGAGCTCTTCCGGAGGCGGGTGGGAGAGCCGCATCGCGACCTCGACCTCCGCGAGGAGGCGCTGCCACGCCGCTCCGCCGTTCAGGGGCACGTCGGCTCCCGCTATCCTGACGCTGTCCTCGGGTGTCCCCAAATATATGGTTCCGCAGGCAGACCCACCCTCCCACCTGCTCCATGGAGGGAGGGCGGAGGGACGGGGTGAGAGAAAGGTACAGGCGAGAGGAGGAAGAGGATCATCGCTCGAGGAGGAGGAGGAGGAGGAGGAGGACCAATTGCGAGAGGCTGAGGGTAGAGAAGGGAAACAACCAGCCACATAATTTGTTGGAGGTCTGCGCCACATTTTTTTGGGGGATCTGCGCTGACACCCCCCTTACTGGCGCGCGGAGCGCGCCAGGGGGCGACCCTGGAGGCGCCGCCAGGGGTCTCCATCCCGGCTCCGAAAGATCTGCGGGGAGCTCCGAAAGTTTGTGTTTGCGCCGACCTTTCTTCTTCAATGACTACCTACCAGACCACCCCAACCCAACCCGAAGACCCGAATTTCGGGTTGGGGGGGGTAAGGGTTCCACATGCGTTTTTTCGATGTTTCCCCCCCACCACCACTGGAAATCGAGGGCAAATTGAGGCCTTCGGGTTGGGTTGGGGTGGTTTGGTAGGCGGTGATTCAAGGCGAGGAGGGCGGGGGCGGACGAATCGGCAGACTCCTGACGGGAACAGGCCCCTGAGCGCGGTTGCCTTCCCCAGGGCCGGCTCTTCCTCCGGCGCCCACAGGGGCCCGTGTTGAGAGAGCCCTGGGGAGCCAGCAGGTTCTGGGAGAAGCACGGGGCCCGTTTCCCGCAGGATCCCTTTTCCACCGTGGCAGACAAGGAAGAGTGGCCGACATCCGAACCCTACCCCAGCCAACCATCGATTCTTCCGAATCGATGGGAGGTGGGGGTAAGGTTCGGAGTTCGCCACGTGTTCGATAAATTCCATACCCCGCCCCAGCCGCCCAACGAGTTGCCTAAACATCGTTTGATCGGCGAAGGCAGGGTTCCGATTTCGCCGCTGATGCGGAGGGGGCGGAGTGGGGAACCACAGCGCGTCCCGCAGGTACGCAGAGTAGCCCTCGACCCCCTGGAACTGGGCGTAGAGGTCGGCCGCCGCATCCGCGGCGTCCTGGGAGGACAGCGACGCGCCCACGCCGCACAAGCCCCTCGCCGCCTCCTGCGCAAACGCCGCCAGCTCCTCCTCGAGCGTCAGGGCCCCCGACTCGCAGGACGGGGCACCTGGTTGGCGTGTGTGAAGCGGACGGGTCTTGGATGACCCTGGGGGAGGAGGAGGAGGAGGAGGAGGAGGAGGAGGAGGAGGAGGAGGAGGAGGAGGAGGAGGTGAGGAGAGGAGGAGGAGAGGAGAGGAGGAGAGGAGGAGGAGGAGGAGGAGGAGGATGGAGGAGGAGGAGGAGGAGAGAGGGAGGAGGGAGGATCAGGAGGATCAGGGGGGGAGGAGGAGGAGGAGGAGGGAGGAGGAGGATGAGGAGGAGGATGAGGAGGGGGAGGAGGAGGAGGAGGAGGAGGAGAGGGGGAGGAGGAGGAGGAGGAGAGGGAGGAGGAGGAGGAGGAGAGGAGGGAGCAGCAGGAGGGGAGGAGGAGGAGGGAGGAGGGGAGGAGGAGGAAGGAGGAGGAGAAGGAGGAGGAGGAGGAGGAGGAGGAGGAAGAGGAGGAGAAGGAGGAGGAGGAGGAGAAGGAGAAGGGGTCCTGGATGGTTTTCGCCGTTGGGGCCAAACAAAACGCCTGTTGCTCGCATGCAGGAAGCGGGTCCTGGAGCTCTTCCCCGATGTCGGCCCCCCTTTGGCCCTCGCCGGTCCCCGAACCGCCCCCCCCAGCGTAGGAGAGGGAACGCTTTCCTCCTCCTCCTCCTCGTCCTCCTCCTCGTCCTCCTCCTCGTCGTCCTCCTCCACGTCGTCCTCCTCCTCCTCCTCCTCCTCCTTCTCTTCCTCCTCCTTCTCCTCCTCCTCTTCTCGTAATGAAGAGCTGGTGCTCGGGATGGGCCCAAGGTCTGGGACCTCTCCCCAATGGCGATTGCGGGTGGCCCAAACGACGCGCCAACCCCGAGGCTGGCCAGGTGGAAAGGCAACAGCAGGAACGAGATCAGGATCGTGCCCAGGCTCTCTGGGCCGGGTGAGGATGCCCGGGCTCTCCGTTCTCCCCAGCTCCTCTTCTTGCGCCACCCTCATATCCGAACCGCCCTCCTGCAAGTCTGGGAGAAGGAATTGCACGGGAGCGTGATTCTGTTTATAATGTTAGCCCGCGGGCAAGAAGGCGTGCGCTCCACATGCTGAGTATTGGAGTCAAACGGCGTCGATAACGACGTTCGCTCGACCCTCGCGTTCGGCTGTGTTTCTAATCCAGTCGTGCCAGCATGATTGAGACCAGTTACGGGAGTGGGAGAAAAACATATTGTTTAATACTGGTACCTGCCCTGAGCACTCCTCGGTAGCGTGGAAGCTTGGTCGCCTCTGTTCCTGACGTCGGCTGGCGTGTTGCCTGCAGAGAAAGAAGGCACTTGGTTAGTAGCATCGGCTGGGTCACAAGCAGACGTGGAACGGTTAGCGTCATTGAACTGCTCCTCAATAGCCCAGCGACCGAAGTCGCTTTCACGTTTTTTTCACGGTCTCGTCGTCGATGTTGTCGCGCATGCCTACTGCGTCCCAAAATGAACGATCGGGATTGCGAGGGTAATATGGGAACGCCGTGCCGGCGTCGCACCACATCCTGGTTTTAAGTTCGTTCTCGTGTTCCGAATGGCCAGCCGCGTGTCTCCATTTAGCCACGGGTCACATTCGAAAGTGCGCAGCCATGCCTGCCAGCAGACAGCCTCGTTCATTTGACAAACAGTTTAACAAACATTTTTGCGAACATGAACAACTGCCTTTGGCGAACTCTTGGTGCATTTAACACGCATTTTGCAAACCATATGTTGCACAGAACCGATTGCACCACATGCGTTCTCCTTGCTAAAAAGATGGTAGCCAACGCGGGACCAACACAATAGGTTTTTGCAATCTATGTGGTGCCATCTATGTGGTGCATCGTGTGCGATGCAACCTAATGCATCCTATGCGGTACAATCTGCGCGGTGTAATCTGAGTGGTTCAATCTACGCGATGCAACCTGTGGGGTGGTTTGGTGGGTGGTGATAAACCGCTGATCACTGTCCTGAAGTGTGTTTAACTCTGGTAGGGGATCGCCCGATGCAGCTGGAGCGGTAGCTGTGGCTGCCGCGGCTGCCATCAGCCTCGCTCCGCTACCATGCGAATCCACTGGAAATGAATTGTACTAGACCGATCATATGTGTGTTTTCCCGTGGGCAAGAAAGCGTGCGCTCCACAAGTTAAAATACTTGAGCCGAACGGCTGCGGAAGTGACAGCCGTTCGACCCTCAAGCTCCGCTATGCTTCTCGCCCAGTGGTAGCGGCATTTTCTAACACCTCCTCCTCTTCCTCGTCCTCCTCGTCCTCGTTCTCGTCCTTCTCACATTCCTCATGCGACTCCCCGAGCACCTCCCACCACCTCCGGGAGGGCGCGGCTGAAGGTGTTTCCAGCGGCGCGAGCTTTCATGATCATCTCGACGGGCGACTCTTTCTTCTCCGTCTCCCTGGCCTGCTTCCTGGGGGGAAAGGGGGGGCGGGGGAGAGAGGGTGGGAGGCCTTCGGAAGAAGCTTCCTAGAAACTTTCTTAAAACCTTCCTCGGGAGGGCTTTTCGGAAAAACCTCCCTAAGCACCATCCTAAAACCTACCTCAGGAAGGTTTTTCGGAAGGGCCTTCCCAAAAACCGCCCTAAAAGCTTCCT